ACTTATTAATGGTGTTCGGATTAGTAGTACCATTATTCTTAGTATTACTCGATTGGATCATAAAAGTAATAGTCGTATTCATGGTCGTCTTAGTATTACCATTCGTCGTACAACCATAAAGGTTACTAGAACTATTCGTGTTATTACTTGTACTAGGATGATTCGTATTACTGTGACCGCTATCATTCGCAATATCGTTGTGAACACGATTATGAATGTTAACCGTATTCGTATTGTTAGCATAATCGATATTATTAGCAGTAGTCCGCACATGAGCTTTAATATTACTAGTCGTATTCCTCTTCCTCTTCCTCCTCCACCCTCTCCTTCTCCTCCTCCTCCTCCTCCTACTCGTTCGCTTCCTCCCTCCTCCTCCTCCTCCTCCTCCTCCTCCTCCGCCTCCGCCTCCGCCTCCACCTCGGCCTCCTCCTCCTCCTTCTCCAGCTCCTCCTCTTTCTCCTCCTCCTCCTCCTCCTCCTCATTCTCCTCCTCCTCCTCCTCCTCCCTCCTTCTCCTCCTCCTCCTGTTCCTCCCTCCTCCTCCTCCTCCTCACCATCCTCCTCCTCCTCCCGTTTCTCCTCCTCGTCCTCCCCCTTGTCTTCTTCTAAGAAGTAATACTGGTATGATCCGTCTTCATGTTGTGCTTAGTGTTGCTCTCCTCGCTAGCCTGGAGATTTTGATGTTCATTGCTAGGTTCATTATTATTCATAATATAGCGGTTCGCCTTCTAATAGTAGCTTATGGTTGTGGTGCCTGCTATTCTTCGTAATGCTGCGTTGATCCTTCGTATTACTCGTACTAGTATGTTTATGCGTTCTCCTATTAGTACTATTTGTATTAGAAGGATTCGTGGTAGCGTTGGGCTTATTCGTCTGATTACTCGTATTGTCATTCCTCTGATTCGTATTATCGTTATTGTTCTTAAGACGGCGCTCATTTAGATCAGTAACAGTAGTAGTAGTAGTAGTAGTAGTAGTAGTAGCCGTGTGTTGATTATCAAAATTCGTATGAGTATTCGTACTAGTTGTCGTGAGTTGTGTAGCATCAGTCGTCTTCTTATTCGGGGTATTATGTTAAACATTCGCAGTATTAACAAGCGTTTCGGTAACCTTCATACTTGTATCATTACGAGTAGTATTCGCATTACTCGTGTTATTAGTTCCAAAAAGAATAAACAGTATTTTTATTGGTAACAATAAAACTCTCCGTAGTGGTAGTATGAATCGTCTTACCCATATTCTTCTTAGTGGTGCAATTACTGGTATTCGCCTGCTTCTTAGTTTTGTGCGTCATCCTCCTCCTGCTCCTCCTCCTCCTGCTCTTCCTCCTCCTGCTCCTGCGCCTCCGCCGCCGCCGCCTCCTCCCTCCTCCTCCTCCCTCCTCCCTCCTCCTCCTCCTCCTCCTCCTCCTCCTCCTCCTCCTCCTCCTCCTCCTCCTCCTCCCTCCTCCTTCTCCGCCTCCTCACCTCCTCCTCCTCCTCATCCTCCCTCTTCGTCCTCCTCCTCATCCTCCTCCTCCTCCGTCTCCGCTTCCTTCTCCCTGCTCCTCCCTGCTCCCCCGAGCTTCTCGACCATCCTCTTTCCTCATCTTTCTCCTCCTTGGGCTGCTGCCTGCGTCAGGGCACGGAGCGGGAGTGAGCGGCAGCACGGGCACTGTGAACAAGCAATTGCGTACCTTCGCGGGTGGCAAGATTGGTGCAGCCCGAAATGCCTCGCTCACGCCCTACCTCGCTTCGCAACATGATGATCGCTTTGATCCCAGATTTGATTGTAGCACGCTGCTGATCAAGCGGTATGCCAATTCCGTCTGGGACGAGCCCGTTCCAGCATCAAATGTGTGTTACACATGGCAAGCAGTCACGGAAAGACGTTCAAATGCGAGGCCGACGTGGCAGAACGCGAGAGGCCTAGTGGCTGCCGTGTGGCTTGCGCTGTGGAGATTGGGTTGGAGTATGCCCAGCCCGTTTGTGTTCAGAGATGATCGGGGATGTGACCATTCTTTGCTGCAGGCCGCGGCCAAAGATATTGAGAAGAGGTTGCTGCCATCTGTCTACAGCTGGCAGATGGAGAGAGTGTTGCAGCATGTGCATGAGAGGATAGGCGACCATAGAGTCTGGAGAAGAACGATGCGCAGAGCTATCTTGAGGTTGCCGACTGGGCCGATCAGAGGATCTATCCGTCGCTCGTGGTCTGGAGGTTGACTTTGCCCAGGTAGGGCGTTCGAGCTCGGTCTGACGGCATCCAGGCAATGGATTCACCGTGAGGCGACGAGAGGCATGTTGGCGCACCAATGGAATGTATGCCCGAACGTGTCGGAGAAGTCGGAGCTGCTACCAGTGGCCCCCCTGAAGATGTGCGCGAGTTTCGGGCTGGACGTGAGAAGCTAACAGAACAGAACAGACACCCGCATCGCGCCGAAGCGCGCTCCTGGCCGGAGTGTGTGGAAAGCGCCGCAGCGCTCAGAGGAGGATGAGGGCCGTGTCAGAAATCTCACATCTTTACGTATTCTGCTTCCAGATTGTCCCAGAATGAGTTATCAGCTGCAAACTCAAACCAATTTCTGGCCGTCGCGTCACAGTGGCCGAGAACGGCGGTGACTGCGAAACGTTTGAGTTCACCTACGGCATCCCGCTTGAACCACGAACTACAGCCTGGGCCGCCGTCGGACACGCCCGTTGTTCACGAGTGGGGTGACTGCTCGGGTGAATGGACCGTCGGGTGACTGCGACGCGTCGGGTGACTGTTGTTCACGAAATCGGGTGACTGCGACGCGTCGGGTTTGCACAATGCGCACCCGACTGTATGCAGAGTTGGCCGGGCAGTGGTGCAGCTGGACCCGTTCACTGGATGGCCTGTCAGAGCAGAATACGGAGGTCTCCCTGGTTGGGAACAGTCGGTTCCAAGAGGGGACACATATGCTAGATCGATGGCGCTCAGTTCTATGAGGAGGCCAGGCCTGGTTGTTTCTGATCATCAGAGTTTTGCGAAGGAGGCCAATGCGTGGGGCATGTCGTCATCGAGTACATCATGTACGCGTGCAAGTATCTGGAGAACCATACTCGAGGTTCGCTGAAATGCTGTGGAGGCGTGCAGTTTTGTATGAGTACTTCGCCACGAGAACTTGTACGATTTCGTTGAATGTGGAGGCTGTCTTGCGCATGCGATTGGGAATGCATGGGCGAATATGTTTGTATATGCTGGGGCCGCGGACGTACATCTCGCCAATGTGCTGATTGAGAACCACACGGAGCTACTGAGGCGGTCTTGCCACAGCACGAAACATGGCTGTCGTGGCATCCAGAGCAGTTCGGGTGTACAGTGGGTATCAGGAGGTTGCCCCTCAGGCCCCCCCGACGAAATGTGCCTCGTGGATTCCGAAGTTGTCGATCACTGAGCACAATGTTAGACAGGTCCATGATACGTTGATCAGATGCGTGAGCTGTTCGCTTGAGGCGCAGACTGCGGCGAGTTTTAAAACTTAGTTTGCTTCCAAGTGTCCCGGGGCCCCCATGCTGGGTGAAGGCCACCGCGTTGTTCGATGGGGTCCTGAGGGCATTTGTGAAATGTGTGGCTGGTGCAGCCTGCACATAGGCAAGTACATTAAGAAGCTCAAGAGCCCTTGCTTAGGACATCCGAAAAATCCTAAGACTCTGACAAGCGTTCGTTTCTGTGTCAAGAGGTTGGCCAATGGCCAGCAGGGTCGAGCCAAACAGTGGGGCCCCGATCCAGCCATAATTTGTTTCCCTGGAGATCCCCTGCCGGTGTCTTCAGGCTTCGCCTTGCCGCCGCCCCTCGATGGAGGCACTCAGCCCCGCGAGGCCACTGGGCGGCGCTTCTCTGCCCTGGCGCACGCGTGGCCCCGCTGGCCTTCCACCTGTGGCGGCTGCGGGGTTCGGTGCGAATGGGGGTTGGGTTGGCCACGTGCTGCGGTCCCGCGGGCCAGGGCCTCAGCGTGCAGCTGGCACTGGCCTCCGCTCTGTGCAACCCTGGAGCCTCACCCCCCTCTGGCGGTGTTTTCCGCTCCAGGCTGACACCCTCCGCCCCCCAAACGTTGGTTTGGGCCTTTGGATGGTCTGGGCCTCATTATCAATGGATCGGCCGATGTCCTGATCCCCCTCTCTGGGCCCTCGGGAGCCCCTGTGGTGCCCCCGGTTCGGCCCCCGCCACCCTTCCTTCGGGTTCGGCTGGGGCTGCTGGACTTGGGCCCCTTCTCCTCCTCCTCCTCCTCCTCCTCCTCCTCCTCCACCTTCTCCTCCTCCTCCTCCTCCTACTACTGCTCCTCCTCCTCCTGCTAAGACAAGACCGAAGCGCGAAACACGATGCATCATAAAATGCTACTACTACTACTACTACTACTACTACTACTACTACTACTACTACTACTACTACTACTACTACTACTACTACTACTACTACTACTACTACTACTACTACTACTACTACTTACTACTACTACTACTACTACTACTACTACTACTACTACTACTACTACTACTACGACTACGACTACGACTACGATACGACTACGACTACTACTACTATTACTACTACTACTACTACTACTACTACTACTACTACTACTACTACTACTACTACTACTACTACTACTACTACTACTACTACTACTACTACTACTACTACTACTACTACTACTACTACTACTACTACTACTACTACTACTACTACTACTACTACTACTACTACTACTACTACTACTACTACTACTACTACTACTACTACTACTACTACTACTACTACTACTACTACTACTACTACTACTACTACTACTACTACTACTACTACTACTACGACTACTACGACTACTACTACTGCTACTACTACTACTACTACTACTACTACGACTACGACTACTACTAATAATAATAATACTAATAATAATAATAGTACTAATAATAATTATTATTATTATAAGGAAGAATAAGAATAATAATAAGAAGAAGAAGAAGAAGGAGGACATGCCCACCCACTCGCTCTGCGCGCTCACCCACCAGTACCTGCGTCGCCGCCGCCACCAAACACGCGGCCCCAGGCGGCCCGGGCCTCGGCCGCAGTGGGCGCGCAGCCCAGCGCAAACAGATCAGTGTCGGCTGCGGCGAAGAGGACGATCCTCTCCAGCGCCGCCCTCCAGGTGGGCACCAAGCGCGGCACTGCCCACTGGTCCCAGAGCCACGCGCCAGCCTGCGAGGCCAGGTGCTCGAGCGCGCTGTGCGTGCCGGCGCCGAGCCGGCCGTACGTCTCGAACGCAACAGTGAGGACGTCGGCGCCGTCCTGGGCCCGCTTGTCAATGGTCGCCGCCTCCGCGGCCTCCTCGGGGCACGCGGCCGGTATCGGGACGCGTGCGGGCAGCGGATATATACATCCACGTACACCGGTTGGACGGAACCGGGAAACGTGAACACGAGGTCCATGACGGCCTCAACCACCGCCCCTGCCTCCGAGGTCCGGGCCAGCTCCGGCACCGTGCGCTCCATATCGACCTCCGCGCAGGATTCCCGGAGGAGGCGCGCAAGCGCCGCGGCCAAAGCGCGGTGCGGCCGCATGCGCGCGGGGCCATGCTTGCAGAGCTGGGGGCGCTTCAGCGCTGAGGGTCGAGCCTCTGGCCGCAGACGTCCTCGCCGGAGTCGTTGCCGGCTCTGCGCGGCATCCGGCACGCGGAGCCTGGCGGAGCGCTGAGGGCGCCCAGGCGGCGCATAACGGCGGCCCGGAAGTAACTGGTGGGGAACCAGTCGCACTCCCGCACGGCGTGCTGCGACCACAGCGCGCCGGCGCCCAGCACCCCCGCGGACAACGGATCCTGCCGCTCCACACTGAGCGCCCGCCACAGCCGGGTAGCCTCCAGAGCATCCAGGTGGCGGAAGATGCGGCTGGCGTATCTGCGTGGCGCTCTGGCGGGGAGGCCGCCCGGCGCAGCGGCCGGCAGCGACGCCTCGGGGAGGCGCTTGAGAGCCCCCAGGTCGTTGACAGCAAGGCCTCGGACCCACGGCCCGCTCGCGTACTCCACGCGGGCGCCAGGGGTGAACTTCACGCCGCCCTGCTCGTCGACCAAAACGCCTGCCTGCTCCAAACGCCGCCGGGCCTCGAGAGCCTCGGGGCCGCCTGAGCACAGGACGCGCGCCATGCCGAGGCCTCTGGCTAGCCTCGGGACGCGGTGCTGCATCGAAGTCCAGGCCGCCCAGAGCGCAGCGTCGGCGATGCAGCCTTCGGCCTCTCGGTGGAGGCCGAGGCCCCCGAAGGCGCCCGCCAAGCGAAGTTGGGCGAGAGCAAGTCCGTCCAGCTGCCGGGCCAGCACGGCGCCCTGGAACGCCTCTTCCACACTGCTGCTCACTGGCTCGGCTACTGCGCCCAGTGCCGTCGAAGGCACCAGCCGCGCATCAAACGAAAGAGCATGAGCGACAGATTTGGATAGAAGCGACCACGCGAGGTGGATGGCGGCTACCGTGGGCTAGGCCACTGCGAACTCGGCGAAGCGGCGGGACAGGGCCGCTGCCTGCCGGGCTCGTTCGCGGGCGGGCTGAAGAAGAATGCAGGCTGCTGCCCTCGGCTTCGAACTCCCCTTGAGCAGCCCCTCCCAGGAGCCGGAGGCCCCCGCGGGCGCGCGGCGGAAGGCTTGCCAACCGAGACGCCTTCAGCGGCAGGCATTCGTCTTCGACGTCGTCGCAGAGGGGTGCCCAGAACTTGCACTTGCACGGCCGGACGCGGTGGCCGCCGCGCGCAAGAGCCGCCTGCACGTTTGGCCAGCTGTCCGCGAGGGCCCCTGCCTTCGTGAACAGGTGGGTGTCGTCTTGGTACCCGACCCTGCCCATGGCGTCGAGCTCCGGGGCCGACTCCAAAGAATCCTCGAGCCCCATGGCGAACATGCCCTGCATCAACCGGGCACCCTGCCAGCCGCCCCGGACTGCCGAAGACCGCCTCCAGCGACCCTCAGCCCGCTGCCACGCGACCGTGCCGCCCGCTCGCCATTGGGCCGCCGCCAGCGCTGCAAGCTCCGGGAGCCGCTTGCGGCGCCGCGCACGCAGCTAGAGCGGTAGGCGCGGCCGTACGCGTCCTCCAAGTCGATGCTGGCCAGCACGTCGACATCGACCTCCTCCCCCTCCTCCTCCAGCTGCCGCGCCCCATCCTGCTGCGGCGGGCCACCGCCAGCCCGGGCGGCGAGCTGCGCGGCCCAGCTGCGAGCGAGGTACACAATGAGCGGCGCCCCATCTGGCGTCCCGCAACCAAGCTGGCGGGGCTCCAGGGCCCGGAGCAGGTCTTTGGAGAGCTCGTCTATGCAGACGCCCTCGACGAGTTTCAGGAGAACCTCGGCGCACGCGATGGGCCGAAGCTTGCGCTGACCTGGGCTGTCTTGCGCCCAGCCGCAATCAACTGGCGTGATGCAGGCCGCCGCCCAGAGCTCGATCGCCCCGCACTGCACTCGGCCTTGCTTCCAGACCTGGGCCCACCGCGCCAGAGCGTGCACGCCCCCGGCGACTGCCCCGATGCATTTGAGAAAGGAACTCCGCCAAGCGCTCGGGCCACATTGCGCTGCGTCCCTCCTCCTGCTCCTGCTCCTGCTCCTGCTCCTGCTCCTGCTCCTGCTCCTGCTCCTGCTCCTGCTCCTGCTCCTGCTCCTCCTCCTCCTTCTCCTCCTCCTCCTCCTCCTCCTCACTACTCCTCCCTGCTCCTCCCTGCTCCTCCCTGCTCCTCCCTGCTCCTCCCAGCTTCTCTCTTCTTCTTCTCCTCCTCCTCCTCCTCCTCCTCCTCCTCCTTCTTCTCCTCGAGGTTGGAGGGTTCACCGACTACGAGCTGCTGCTGATCCGTCGAGCAGCGGCAAGAACCATAAAACCTTCGGCTGGCCAACGCTCCCTTACGGTTTTGTCCCACCTCGAGGGAGACCCCGCGTGGGTCGGGGCCGTGTCTCCGATTTTGTGGTGGCACAGGGAAGTGTGGTGCACCCAGGTTAGGGCCTTTGAAGGCTCGATTTCTTTCAGGGAGCTGCGGCAGGCCTGGGAAGGTGTCTTTCTTCAGGAGTCTCTTTCGTGGCGAGGCGTAGGGGGCCCCGTGGCCGCCATGCGCAAGTCCTTGGAGAGGATCTCGTGGACGATGAGGAACTTCGCCACTTTCATCACTGACAAGTGGGTCGAGCTGTCCATGAGCATTATGTCCCCCCAGCTCATCAAGCAACATCTCCGAGGGGCTGTATTCAGGATTCTTGAAAGGGAAGCAGGTGCCAAATGGGATGTTCCGCATCGTCTCTGTTTTGACGTTTTGAAGGCCGAGCTTCGCCGTCCACGATACTCCTCATTGGAAGAAGGGTGCATACGAGCAGTTGCCACGGATGCCGTCTGGACTCGTTCAAAAGCTCATCAGCTGGGTTATCAAATAGACCCCACCTGCCCCCTCTGCGGTGCTGCTGTAGACACGCTCCACCATAGACTCTGGGCCTGTGGTTGCCAGGAGATAGCCGAGCTTCGCTCTAGTCTTGTTAAACCCGAGATTGTCAGCAAGGCTCTGGAGGAGCCTAATTCGGTTAGATCTTGTTTCGGGGCGTTTGCTCACCCTGGTGATTCGTTTCCTGGTCCTGCGGACAAGGCGTCTGGGACTTTCTGGGCCAGGGAGGACCTTCCTCAGGAAGTTGGCGAGTTCCCTTTCAAAGGTAACCGTTTTACTGATGGCAGTGCGTTTAAACATGTTGCCCGTGAGCTCAGTAGGGCAGGTTGGGTTTTCGTGGACGTGGACGGCCAAGGCGATCTTCTAGGTAAGCTGTACGGTCCTGTTCCTCCGTGATGCCCTCAGTCTGCCCCTGCGGGAGAGGTCGCTGCTATCTGTCAGGCTGTGTTGTATTATGTTGAGCCTTCTGATTTCTACACGGCTGCACAGCTGGTCAAAGATCAGTTCGACCGACCCCGAGTCGATCAGCTGTCGCCCAAGAGATCCTATAGTGGTTTCTATCTCTGTTTGTTCTCTCTCTCTCTCTCTCCTTGGGGGTATCTGGAAGGTTCGCTCTTTGAACAAAGTTAAGGCCCATTTGTCGCTCGATGAGTGGGCCGACGATCACGATAAGATGTGCCGGTTTGGAAACCATCACGCCGATGTTGGAGCCAAGAGCGCTTCAGCTGGGGAGGGGTACCTTTGGGCACCCACACACAGCCGTCCGAAGAGGTCAGGGCCAGACTGGATTTGGATGTTCAGATGTCATGGGCCGTGGCTGTTGTGGCGGCGTAGCGTGTGCCCAAATGGCCGAAGTTGGACCTCCAGGATGTTGCGTGGAGCCAGCCGCCTAAAGAACCCCCCCCCCATCTGCTGTTTTGCCTGTTTGCCATTGGATTCCCATCCAGCAAGTGGTGCTTGGTTCTGTTTCTGGATTTTGGCAGTGCTCAGTCTGCGCTAAAGTCAGCCGCTTGCCCACCCATGGTCCCCCGCCTCCCTCGACTCGGTGCGGTCCTGTCAGTGGGCTCGATCCGAGAACCCTAGAGGCGAGGGGACACGAGTGCTTGACTCTGGAATGCTCAGATAACGCAGCACGTGTCATTTGTGCCACGTGTTTCTCAGATTCTTCTCACGGGCGTGTCAGCGGCCGTGCTGAGACATGTTCAGGCCCCACGCGCTCGAAGACGTATCATAATTGGCACCCGACCTGCAATGGCATCCACCCAAAGCGTCCCAACGTTTCGGTTGAGCGTGGGCCGTGGGCGCAGCTGGGAGGAGACCGTGCATCGAGGGATGCATGTGCTCTGCGCCGCCAGGCTCCCAACCTCCTGTCGCGAGGGTCGGTGGGGACGGGGCGGAGTCGGGGCGGGGGGTGGAGCGAGCAGTGCTTCTCCTGCTGTGCCGCAGGCGGCCCCTGCGCCATCAAGGACTAGAGCTGACTGGGAGGCCGAAGAGGAGGCCTCCCGTTTTCTTTTCGAAGAGGATCCCAGAGATGTTTCTGACTCTGGATCTTCTGACTAACGCCTGGGGGAGAGGCAGCTGGCCACGGGGAATCCTCCTGCCAGCAGGAGATGTCTCTGTGGCATCCTGCCTTTCCTTCGCCTTGAGGTGTTAGTTTCTTTATTTGCTGGCACACGTGCCAGCCAGGCCTGCCCACGTCCTTGGGGCGGGCACGTTTCCATTTGATGTTGATGTCCTTCTTCTCCTCCTCCACCCCTCCTCGTCCTCCTCCGCCTCCTCCACAACCTCCTCTTGTTTCTGCTGCTGCTGCTGCGGCTCCTCCTCCTCCTCCTCCTCCTCAACCTCCTCCTCCACAACCTCCTCCTCCTCGTCCTCCTCCAACTCCTCCTGCTCCTCAAATTCCTCCTCCTCCCTCCTCCTCCTCCTCCTCCTCTCCTCTCCTCCTCCTCGTCTCATCCTCCCTCCTCTCCTCCTCCTCCTCCAACTCCTCCTCCTCCTCCTCTCCTCCTCCTCCTCCTCCTCCTCCTCCTCCTCCTCCTCTCCTCCTCCTCCTCCTCCTCCTCCTCCCCTCCTCCTCCTCCTCCTCTCCTCTTCCTCCAACTCCAACTCCTCCTCCTCCTCCTCCTCCGCCTCCTCCTCCTCCTCCTCCAACTCCTCCAGCTTCTCCAACTTCTCCTCATCATCCTTCCTTATCCTCCTCCTCCTCCTTCTGCTCCTCCTCCGCCTTCAGCTCGTCCAACTACTCCTCCTCCTCCTCCAACTCCAACTCCTCCACCTCATCCTCCTCCTCCTCCTCCTCCTCCGCCTCCGCCTCCGCCTCCGCCTCCTCCCCCTCCTCCTCCTCCAACTCCAACTCCTCCTCCAGCCCCTCCTCCTCCTTCCTCCTCCTCCTCTCTCATCATCATCATCATCATCACCACCACCACCACACCACCACCATCATCATCATCATCATCATCATCATCATCATCATCATCATCATCATCATCGTCATCATCATCATCATCATCATCATCATCATCATCATCATCATCATCGTCATCATCATCATCATCAGCATCATCATCATCATCATCATCATCCCCCTCTCTGAAGGTTCACACGACCTCTGGCCACTTTAGACAAAAACCATAACCCTTCCTGAAAGCACGGGGGGGTCCCTTGAAAGCCGGAGTCTGCTGAGAAACCCCGCCGCTTTCTGAGAAGGCCTGAACCCCCCTCACTTCCCCTTTTGGCGCGCCCCCTCATCGCGGGTTGCTAGCCAGGTTCTGCCCTCGTTAGCAAACGACAACAACAGGCAGCGAATTGAGGTTTCCCCAGGTAATGGTTGCACCCCCCTGTCAATCCCTAGTTGGCTCAGGGACTGTCCAACGGCGGCCCGCTCGCTGTCCTGGCAGCTTGGTCAGTGATCCTCGTCCTTCTCCTTCTCCTTCTCCT